GCCCGAGAGGAGCCGGTGGATTTGACCGGCGCCGGAAGATGTCTGACAGGCAGCTCACTCCCCGTTTTCTTTGTATTGCAGCCTCGCAAAATTGAGGAAATCAAAGACTTCCTGCTCACCGCGCGGCGGAAGGACGCCAAATGTAAGTGGCCCCTCTGGGGCGCGGGGTGAGGAGCTGGTGGCGGTCGCGTTTGCGTGGAGCGGTCCCCACCCTGGCGCTGCTTCGGGAGCGCCTGCCCCACATGTCAGGCTGGAGGGAGGCCGTTTATTGTTCATTTTGGTTCCCTTGAGCTCATTTTTGTCCCCTTGTGGGTTTGGTTGCTGGAAATCTGGAGACGCGGGTCCCGTAAACCCGGAGTTAGTGCTACAGGTTGGGTTGTGCGCTGAGGACAGACCCTGCTCTCGGTGAGCTTCGTTCACTAAGTAGCTTCACCTGGACCTGCAGTGGTTTCCGGGGCTGTAAATAAAGGGGAAAGAAAGCGACGCACCAGGAACCCGAAACGGCAAGCTTTGGATTGGGGTGCGCCTGGCGCCCGGGGGTGCTCGTTTTTACGCCAGACGTCCGAGGCTGTCCTGCTGTTTCTTTTTTATTGTAGCTGGAGGAGGGTTGGGGGCTTGTGCTTAGTACAAGGTAGATCTTGGGTTCGTGCGTTGTGTTAACCCAGAGGCATCTTTTTCCTGCTCCTTCAAAGCTTCCTTTCCCACTGAGTTGTCACAGAGAGAAAGTGGGGTCACTGTGGGAGTGGGGCAGTGTTGGGCTGAGACCCCGCCCCTCTCTGAGGCTCCGTGTCGGGGTGGGATGAAAGGATGTGGAGGGAGCCTCTCAGTGGGTTCACGGGGGACAGGGAGGGTCCTATCTGTGCCCCTGGGCCCTGAAACAGGCTGCTGCCTTTGATCCTCTGGTAACTTCTATGAAATGGTGACCACCTGTGGGGACAAGCGGCAGCTGTTGGGAATATACAGGCCCGATGACTGTGGGGACCGCAGGTGCCAGTGTGGTTGTGTTGGTATCTGTCATGCAATAAAGAGGAGATGGTCTTCATGTCATTTTTAGTTCAGATCAGGGAATTTGAGGTCACTGCCTGGTTCAAATCCCAGCTCTATCAGTAGGTAGCTGCCAACAAGTTAAACGTGACACCGTTTCCTTGTGTTGAGGGGTAACAGTAGTATGTGTCTCATGGGATTGGTGCAGTCACATCAGATGACCCCTTAGAGGCCTTTAGTGCACTGAAGAAATGGCACTAAATCCGTTTGATTCATTTGCATTTTAATTCTGTTTGGGAGCCTGATTTTAGATTGTCCTATGAAGATAGAGGTTGTACCCTGGACATAATAGGGTGTTCCATAAGTGTTAATATTTTTAATTCTAAAGTGTACGTAACATAAACTTACCGTTTTAAGTGTACATTCTGCTGGTATGAGGTACATTCCCATTGCATCTTCAAAATTTGATCTTGCAAACTGAAACTGTACCATTAAACAGTAACTTCCCATTCTGTCCAACCATAAGTGGAATGCATCATGGTGATGTAGAGTAAACGTCGAGACCCGCATACCTTACAAGTGTTTGTAGGTGTACAGGAGCTGCTAGGGACAGTGCAGCATACTTAGTTTTTTGTTTTGTTTTTTTAAATATGTCTTTATTGATTTCAGGGGGGGAGAGTTGAAACATCAATGATGAGAGAGTAGGGCTGCCTCCTGCACACCCTTACTGGTGATGGAGCCCACAACCTGGGCATGTGCCCTCAACCAGGAATCGAACCTCGATCTCCTGGATCCTAGGTCAATGCTCAACCGCTGAGTCATGCCAGCCGGGTGCATACTTAGCTTTAAGAGGAATGTCAAGGTAGCAAAATAGGGTGGTTTGAATGAATATCCACGTTATGAACCGAGGCAGCCACTGCCATGTGCAGGCCAGAGTCCCCATTCTTCAGCTTCCTGTCCCTTTAGCAGCTGTTGGCAGAAATGGGGTTGTGGGTACAAGTTAACCTTGTGCTGCTGCTGTGATGCACTGAGTGTGTCTGGTCAGGTACGTGGGCTCAGACACTGGAGCCCTTATTTGATCCTTACCATCTGACTTCTGATTGGCTTTCATAGTACGGGGTTCCTGCAAGTGTCTGAGCTGTTTTGAAAGAAGTTGGAATTCGGGGTTTGACGGTCCCTGAAAAGACTGGCCGTCGGAAGCAGTTGTCTTCCAGCAGCTGGAGGAGCTGCAGCCACGTGGAAACACATTGACACTTGTCCGTAACCAGACTCTTGGAAATTTTAAACCGCTGTGGGATTTGAGCTACACTTGGGGCTCTTTATTGAGCGGTGGTCCTGAGAGAGAATTTGGTGGCAGCGAAGAGCCCAGAAGTGGGCTCCGTGTCAATTTTAGGAAACTCATAAACACACACTCACCATGCTTTCCCATCGCCCCAGCATGTGTATCATCTGCAGAGAACAGGTTTCCAGAAGTAGAGTGGTGGCGAGTTCTGATCCCAACAGATATCCCATCTTACCTTATAAACCGGCTTCCATCCCTTCAGAAAATCAGATGGGGACAGAACATTCTAGGACGTGTTCAGTGCACCAGCTGCATTAAAAAGCCAGTAAGGGTAGGCCTCAGGCTCTTGGGTATTAATATATGGGAAAGGCAGATTTCTGACGCTCAGCAGAGGGACAGGATGGGGACAGGCACAGCTGTCCGTGGGTGGGGTCATAAGTGCCACTTTCCGCATATGTGTAAAGTAGGCGGGCTGGTGATGCAATTACTGATTGATTGGTCCCCTTGGTAGCTGTCAAGATCAAGAAGAACAAGGACAACGTGAAGTTCAAAGTTCGGTGCAGCAGGTACCTCTATACCTTGGTCATCACAGACAAAGAGAAGGCCGAGAAGCTGAAGCAGTCCCTGCCCCCAGGTGAGGGACCCTGTACATGGGAGGTGTGCATGTCACCTCGCCATCCCATTTCTTGAATTCTGCCCAAATGGAGGAGAGGCCAGCGGCAAATGTGTCACTGCCTTTCATGCTTCCCTGATGAAGAACAGTAACAGCTCGCTCACTTGGTGCCTAGCTCAGTTCACATTCACCAGGCGGGTACTGATTTGGATGGTCCCTGTTTCGCAGGCTGGAAACATTGAATACAGTGGGCGGTGAGCATGAGCTAAACAGGGTCCATCCTGGCAGGAGAAGGACCGCACTGTGGAGGAAGCCGCCCACAGAGTGCAGAGCGGCTCCAGAGGCCGCCTCCCCACAGTGAAAAGTTAACCAGTACTGCGTGGCTTTGCGAGAACTCCCTGGGACCCATTTATAGAGCTGACAGGTTTTTAATCAAACACTAAATATTTTAAGCAAGCCTCCCTGGTGGGCTTAATTTCTGAGCTTTGTGAGCCTCCTTCAGCTTAAGTACAAAATCCAGACAAGCAGCAGTAATTTGCACTGTGTCTTCTGTAACTGACTGGCTTCTGCCTCTTTCGCTCTAGGTTTGGCGGTGAAGGAGCTGAAATGAACCCGACCCGCCGACATGTATTAAAGTGTTAAAAATTCTTAAAGTGTCTTGTCTTTGAAGATGGGAAGGAACTGTTCTGGGGTGCTGGCCTTGGGTGGGGTGGGGTGGAGGTCCTGGTGGCAGCCTCCTCGCATCCCTAATCTTGGGCTGTGGTCCCAGTGGACAAAGCCATTCTTGTTTAGCATAAGTTTGAAAATAAGTAGATGGCAGTCCTCAGAAGAGCCAGCTGCTTCATGTCTGCCACACCAAGGCAGGAGGGGAGTTTTATACTGAGACTGTCCCTGAGTGTTGCTTCTGATACAGGAGCTCAGGCAGTGCAAGAGAGATGAATGCAGGTGAAACAACTTGGAGCCGGCCTCAGAGGGGACCTTTAAAGCCGAGAACAAGTGAGTGCTTGTTACCCTGGCAAAGTGGGCCGAGCATTCCAAGGGAGGGAACATCCTGGAAAAAAAGACCTGTCTACAGAATCCAGCTGAGGTTTTAAAGGAGGCACTGGGGTTCCTGCCAGAGGTCCAACCCCAGGCTTCCAGGCAGTGGGGTGGAAATTGAGTTCACTGGGGTGGCAGGGGTGTGGATGGAGCGCAGTACTTGAACACGGGCGTAAGGGCCCAAATCCCAGTATGAGGGGCAGTTCAGGTCTCAGCCAGGCTTGATTCCTTGGGGATTAAATCCTGGTTATACCACATGCCAGCCTGCATGATCTTGACACACTACCTCACCTCTGAGCACCCTGACGAGGAAACACTCATTGAGCCTAGAACAAAGCTACTCTTACCGGTGACAAGGCCAGCACAGGTTGTGGGGTCCTGGGCTCTTGGCCGGAAAGTGTCCCAGGCCCAAGGCCGGTTATGTGCTCCGTGGTGGTTGCCAGACTGCCTTTTCCAACACTGCCTCACCTTTCAAATTGTTATGGCAAAATAGCCGTTAATGCCTATTTCAGTGGTTTAATGAAGGGACAAATGAGGTAACACTAAAGATTTAGAAGTGCTCTTGGCACTTAGCAAATCTGGGAGATGGATATGGGGGTTATGTCAGGGTTGACCACAAGGTGGAGACATGCTCAAACAAATGAGCAGTTCCCCGGACCCTCACCACACAGTTTACAGGCTGAAGTCCACTCCCAAGTAGCTAAGTACCTGAGACCCCGTAGATTTTTCTGTAAGAGCTTTAGGGTGCAAAGTAGTTTTTGAATTGGGTCCTGAGGGAGGTGGGTTTTGTTTCCTCTGGGTGTTCAGTGACAGCCCCGGATGGGGCACCTTCTGTGGCTTCAGCCCTCCCCATTCTTTCAGCATTCGGTTTCCAGGAGGGAGGGTGTGGGTGTACCACTTGGGCTTCCTTTGTCCCACACGTTGTCCAGAGACAAGCCCCAGCTCCTAGGAGACACTCCATGTCTACAGAAAGCATCCTTTCATGCCAAGATTCTCAGCCCTGGAGTCATCTGGGGCACT